CCGCTGAGGGAAGCCTCCCCACGCACACCCTCTACCGACACATGCAACCCCCAGTACATGCGGCCTCCGGGGCACCATGCACGGCGGCGGCGGTATTGTCAGCGGCGGCCACTGCATGTGCAGGAGGTCGTGTGCGTCGGTGGGGGGTGTGCGCGCGCGAGCGCAACTGCCACCATTCCCCCCCCCCTCGGCCCAGCCGAGACCTGGGCTACGGGAGACCGGCCCAGGTCTCAAAAAGGTTGCCTGCCCCTGGTCTATCGTATCAAAAGCCGCTGAGAGGTTGAAAAGCACCAACAGGGTCACATTACCCCTGTCGATGCCCAGATGCAGGTCGTATGTCAAGGCAACCATAGCAGTCTCAACTCCAAATCCTGTCCTAAAGCCAAATCCTGTCCTAAAGCCAGCTTTGCATGGGGCTACCTCTGTACTAAGTTCGAAAACTTCAATTGGTTCAAAACATGGCAACCAGATTGGTCAATGGAACATCTAGATCAGACCATATAACACCTATATTAAAATCTCTTCATTGGCTGCCAATTAGCTTCTGGGCACAGTACAAAGCGCTGGTTATTACCTTTAAAGCCCTACATGGCTTGGGCCCAAGTTACTTGAAGGAATGCTTCTCCCCACACAATCCGCCCTGCACTCTCAGAACATCTGGGAAGAACTTATTAGAACATCATAGAACCAAACTCAGCACGACTTCCCAAAGATCATACACGGCCACAGCTCCCATGTTATGGAATGGCCTACTAGAAGAGATTCGTCTTATTACTACGCTAGATGCCTTTAAGAAGGTACTTAAGACAGAGCTCTTCTGATGGGCCTATTCATCTGATCTTCTAGATTTCTAGATTCTGATGATGATTGGCTTTTTATTTTATTTTATTCTATTTTTATTTATTTTATTATATATATGTTATGCTGTTATAATTTATTACTGTTGTTTGATTTTACTATTATATTGTTTGTATTTTGCATATTATATTCATTTAATTCTGTAATCCCGCCTTGATCTGTAGGGAGAGGTGGGAAATATAAATAAAATTATTATTATTATTATTATTATTATTATTATTATTATTATTATCTAGAGGTGTTGCATAACCCGTAATCTTGCACTAGGGAAATTCTTTTCTGTACCAGCCATTCTCCATGAAATGTTCTTTAGCAAACTGTTATTCAGTGTATTACTTCTCCTCCTCACCATCTCAGTCCTAAGGGCTGAGGCCAAGTCAGAGGTGAAAGAAAGGTGTAAAATGATCCCAGGGCTTGGTCTGGCTGGCTCCAAGCCATGCACACAGATCCACAGAGTCAGAGAGACTCTTTTGGAAAAGAAGTCTGGCTACCTGCCAAGGTCCACTGAAATAAACGGGGAATTCTGCCAAGTGGGAGAGCCGATGTGGCCTAGTGGTTTGAGTGCTGTACTATGACTTTGGAAACCAGGGTTCAAATCCTAGCTTGGCCATGGAAACCCACTGGATGAGTCACAATCTTTCAGCCTCAGAGGATAGCAAGGGCAACCCCCTCCCCCGAATAAATCTTGCCAATAAACCCTATGATAGGGTCGCCTTAGGGTCACAAGTTGGAAATGACCTGAAGGCACAGAACCCATCCAAACAGTGGTGTCACTAGGGGGTGCGGTGGGTGCGGACAGCATCAGGTGAAACCCCAGAGGGGGTGACACCCAGTGCACTGGTGGGAAGGGGCTGCCTTCTAGTTCTGGCTGCTCTGTTGCCTGGGCGGTAAAGAGTCTATTTCTTTTTGCCTCCAGCCAGCAGCTGATAAGTATATAACACAGTAAAAGTGTGATTTAACACATAAACAAAAGTCAGGCCCAGGTGGAAGGAGCAATCCATTCCCACCAGCAGACGGGGAAGGACTAGGGAGTTTATCATACAGGAGAGAAAGGGCCTATACAGACTGCCAGAAATAATCAAGCTTGAGGCCACTTTAACTGCCCTGGCTTAGTGCTTAGGAGTCATGGGAACTGTAGTTTATTGTGACACCAGAGTTCTCTACACTTCCCATGATTCCCTAGCACTGAGCACAGACAGTTAAAGTGGTCTCAAGCTGGATTATTTCTGGCAGGCTGTACATGCCCTAAATGCCCAAATCCCATGCAGAAACTGGATTTAAATTCCGGGAATTTCCCAAAAATCCCAAAAGTAAAAAGTGGCCGATTTTGTCCACTTTCTGTGCAGGTTAATGTCAGATTAATGCTCAATGTGTCTGAAAGCGATCCTGCTTTTGTGGATTTAAATCATGTGTGTGCATGGGATTTGGCGGATTCCCTCCTGTGTGATAACGTCCTAGGTTGTCTCCCAGGTCTGGTTGCTCTGCTTGCTGGAAGAGAAAGATGGTTTTAAAAAATGGCTGTTGCAGATAGGGCATTATCCCACCCGCTCTCATTCACACATCACCAGCTGTTGCTGCAGATGGAGGAAAGTAAAGGATACAGTGAGAGAAAAGGGGGAAGAGAACGAGGAACGCACTGCACCCCTCCCTCCCTCCCTTCCTTCCTCTAAGCATATCTCTGAGCAGCAGGCTTTGAAGGGCCAGAAAGCATGGCTGTTCACCACCCTTCCACCTCTTCCTTCCAGTCTTCCTCCCTCCCATTTTTTCCCTACCACCAAAGTTAAAGGAGAAACTCAAGAGCTCCAAGGAAGCTTTCTGGTGCTTTTTCCCTCAGCCAGATAAAAACGCTGCTGTTAGTAAGTGAGGGAAGGGGAGAAGAACCTTGGAAGGGCAGCTTCTTCTGTGTTTTCAGTGACCCTCCTCCTCCTCCTCCTCCTCCTTCCCTTGTACACTCATCCCTCCACATTTGTGGCTTTGATTTTTGCATCTCTGATTATTCATGGATTTATTAATATGTTCTCTCTAGGAATAGCTAGGTCCTCCAGCACAACTCAATGGTCAACTTTAACTAAAGGTCACACTGAAGGACTTAGAGATTCCTAGAAATAACATCTGCCAGACACTGACCACAGAGTTGCACTGGAGGACCTAGAGATTCCTAGAGAGGTGTTCTCTCAGGTGAAAACATCGTCTTTTTCTTATTTGAGTTTTTTCCACATTCACAGGTGTCCTGTGCCCCTTACCTCCTTACATTGTTTTTAAATTGTACTGAGTTTAATTATATTTTAAGGGGGGGAGGGGGAGGTAATTGTTCTTAACTATTGTTGGATTTTTATGATGTAAGCCGCCCCGATTGTTTTCAGAGGGGCGGGGTATTAAATAAAAATTATTATTATTATATAACCCCAGTGAATGGGGAGGGACGAATGTACTTTCCTCCCACTGTAGGTGCCTCTTTTGCTGTGCAATGGTTGCTGCTGAAATGTATCTTTGAGGGACATTCTGTTTATGATATAACCAGTTGTTCTGCATAAAGCTGTCATTTGATTGCAGGGATATCACATTTTCTCAACAACCCAAGTAGGGCATGAACCCCCTTCCCCATAACTTTGCTGTAGCACAGGCTTTTCTATAACTGCAATAAAAACATTCATTGGAGACTATTTATAAATTTTCTGTATAGATTCCAAGCACACCTGCTCACACATTTCCTTTCCCCCTCTCTTGTACAGCATCTCTCTCTTTATAAACTGCCCTACTGGAATATTACAGAAAGAATAAAAAGCTGCATAGGAAGACTTTCACTGATCACACAGAGAGTCCTCATCTGTAAGGATTAGAAAGACCACTTTTGTACTTCCCAGTCACACAAACCTTCATTCTCCCTTGGATCACAAGTATGGACTGACACAAAGCAGGCAGTACAAGGCCAATGCTCAGGGACTTTGGGAATCATTGTCCACACCATCTGGAAGGCATGGGATTGCCTAACTCTGTCTTCCCATAGTTGAGCGCACATGCATTGCAGGTTGTGCATGCATGCATTTTTTGTATCACAGGATCTTGTGATTTTTGTGCTTTCTCATCACATGGAAACATTTCAGTTCTCCTCTATAGAATGGGGTAGGAATAATGTGGCCCTCCAAATGTTCTTGAACGGCAATTCCATGTACTGTACATCTTAGCTATATTGACTAAAGGTGCTGGGAAATACAGTCCATCAACATTTGCGGGGGGGGGGGGAGAGAACACAGATTCCCTTGCATTAGCAGGCAGCCACTAGCCTTGCTTTGCAAGAAACATACATTTGATGCCAACTTTAAAGTGGAGGAAAACACAGAAAGATTACCCAAGAGGACTGTGTGGCTAGAGGCCAAGAAACTAAACAGCCAAGACAGTGTTTAGGTACCCAACAGTCTTTATTATCTAGTGCCTTAGTTGGAATATATTTTTGATATTACAGTTACTGTATGGCAATGTTCTGAAGCATGATTCAAGATTTCTCACAGCTACAAGTGTCAGGCCAGCAAGATTCCTAGTTCCTTCTACTCTTTCTTATTGCTCCACTTGGCAATTCTCCAGAAGATGGGAGTTCTCAGGAAACGGCTAGATTTCATGTAGGCAGAAATCTTTTCCAGTGCCTACAGGGAAAGATAGCAGAAGGATCCTTATGTTGCAACCATCTGTACTAGAATCCTGGAGGAAACTTTAACTGTTTGTTTAGTATGTGATTCTGATGGAGGGTTGGATGGGAAACTACTGTATCTTCATCTCATAGCTACATTTCCTGATACACAATATTGGCCCTTGCATGCCTATGATATTCCTGGAAAGAACTCAAGCCTGGACTAATTGTTTGTTCCAGGCTGAAGCTGAGAGCAGGTGTTAGGGCTCAGTGCACATCTCTTTCCCCTCCCCTCTTCCCATAGTGTGGGGTCCTTAGCACAAAAAATTGGCTTGTATGAAATCAAACTGGAGTTCCCTCTTACAAAGAATCATGTCATAATAATGGCCAACAAACCAGGAAAATAAACCAAAATTAGGAGAGAGGGGAAATTCATTTCCAGCATAATAAACCATGATTGGCATCACAGTCTCTCATTCATACAAACAATTTCCAGACTTGGGGACTAAACAGAAGGCTATAAACCTGCCCTTATGAGCGCCAGATCAGGGCTGCAGCAAACGCATGCTGCAGCCCTGATCCAGCGTTTTTCCAGTGGAAAAGAACTACATCTATTGTTGTTGTGTGCCTTCAAGAAGTGGCAAAATGCTGACTTTTTTTTTTTTTTTGCTGGAAAAAAAGGCCACTGCTGCAGCTCTTCTGTGCTCCTGCACACGCTGTCTGGTTGCTGTGCTGCAGGAATGCCTCAACACTGCCCACCGTCTGGTTGGGTGGGTGATGTGATGCCAGATTGGGTGCAGAGTTGGGGTGTGTGGCATGTGGCCGGGATGTGTGGCGTGGGGGCAGCCAGCTGAAATTGCTCATCTGCTTTGCTCCTTGGTCCTTTGTCATGGAGTGTGGTTTCAGCTCCCCTTTCTGAGATTAAAGTTCAGTTCAGGTGAACTATGCCAGGGGTGAGCAACCACTCCAAACCAGTAAGACCTTGGAGGGCACCAGGTTTCCTAACTCTGCCATAGTTCCTGCAAACTAGCAACACACACACACACCAACAACACCTGAAGGCTTGTGTATGTGTACCATGATAACACAACATAGAGTGCTTTTCAATTAAAATCTGCTGAAATCCTACATCGGCTTCTTAATTACAAATCTGTAGTTAAGGAGTATCTCCTGGCATGAACACCAAGCCCACCTTAACAGCCAGCAGCCACATTGAGTGAAGAAGATCTGTTCAGTTGCCAATCAGAGGATAGGGAGGATTATGTTTCTAGCCCCTCTCACCAGTTAGAGAGGCTGAGACAAGGAATTGCAACAGGGTCCAGCTTCTGATTGTTGCAACCGCTACCAGGAAGAGACTGGAAAAAGTAATCCTCCATGCACACCAAACTGCAGCTAAATAGAAATCCTTCGCTTTATGTGGCAGGTGGTTCTTAAGGTGGATTTGGGAGACAGTAACTGCATAGTGTTACTCAATACAGAGCATTTATAGAGCTGTAACTCCAAGATTATGAATCTATAACTATAATATAGAATGCCAGGTGTTACTTATTAATACCTACTGGATGGAACTTCTGAGTTTAAAGAAATAGAATATTTAACTG